TTGCTGTTCATTGGAGGTAAGGGTTTCAAGTTCATCCAGAAGTGCCTCAGAAGAAAGGCCTGGCTACCTGCTTATCCCATGCGGCACAGTTCTACTATAACACACACGGGGTCTCCACCTGTGGGTCAGAGTGGACCAGATGTACAACTTACTCCACAAGCCATTGAGCCCCTTGAGATTGAAATCTTAGGATTCTTTCATTGAAAAAATTCTGCTCCATGGAGATGCTACACGTGGAAAGCGGGCATGGTCCACCCACTTCCCCAGAAGTGTGGTGTAGCTTGTTGTCACTGCTGCTGGGTCCGACTCGTGGGGACCCTGTGTACCGCAGAAGGACACGCGGCCTGCTCCTGCCTCCTCCTCACACTTCTTATTCTTATATGGGAGCTTACAACCCTTGAAGGAACTAACTGCTCCCTCTGTCTTATTGAAGCAGCAACCTTGTCTGCATTAGAAAACGCAGACTCCTAAAAAGAAAAGGGGGGGGCAGGACCTTTGCCGACCACTGAGAAGGGGTCTGGTGGGGCCCTCAGAACAACCTGAGACAAGAGCCGACTCTCTGCCGGGTTTTGCACTGGAGGAAATGCACCCAATGAAGTGGCCCAACTGGCCCCCTGGGCCTCAGCTCCTAAAGCGGAGACTGGGAGTGCAATCTAAGCAAGCCACGGTGGGTGGGGATGGGGGTGGGGGGACGCCCCCAAACAGGCATTTAATGCCTCCTGGGCATTGCCTAAGCAGCCCGCTCATGCTGCAGTGTAGGCATCAGTCTGTTAACTGCTACATCAGGGCTTCAAAGCCACCAGCCACCCCGCGGGGGAAAGAAGAGGCTGCCTGCTCCCACATAGAGTTACACCCTCAGATGCCCTACGGAGGGTCGCTGTGAGTTAGAATGGCAGTGGTTAGGTTTTGATGTGGGGCATAGCCGGGTAAAACGAACAACGAACCTGCCAGCCGCTCCCTGAAAGCCACAGATGAAAGGCCCGGAGACCCTTTTCAACAAACATCAGCCACCAAAAACCCCAAACCACTCGGCGCGCAGTCCTACGTTAACGCCCAAACAGGACAGGAGGCTCGGAGTGCAGGTGAACTCAGCAGCCATGGGACATCTCTACATGCTGTTGCCACGAGGCACCTTCCAGTCAGTTCCGACTCACAGAGATCACGTGTCAGGCAGAGCCCGCTGGTCTCCGCACCATGCTCACCGTTGCTCTGACATTTGAGCCCGTGACTGCAGACACTGTGGGAATCCATCTTTTTCGCTGTTCCCTGCTCAGCCAATTATGCTGTCTTTTTCCAGGCTCTGGTCTCTCCACGTCCAAAGGACAGGAGATGAAGTCTTGCCATCTTTGCCTCTGAGGAACATTCTGGCTACATTTCTGCCAATCCAGGTTTTTTGGTTCTCTTGGCGGCCCACGGCACGGTCCGGGTTCTTGACCAGCACCATAAGACAACTGCGTCCACTCGCCCTCCGGCTTCCTGATTTAACCGAAGCACCATGGCTTGAGTTTGGCCCACTTTGGTTTTCCAAATAACACCCTTGCTTTCCGAGACTCGAAAGAGGTCCTGGGCAGCAGATTTACCCAGTGCAAGGCATCGTTTGATCTCCTGCCTGCTGCTTCCGGGAGCAGGGATTGTGGGTCCGAAAAAGAGGAAATCCTTGGCAACTCTAATCCGGTCTCCACTTTGTGAGGATTTTGGTTTTCTTCACATCACATTGTCATCCATCCTGAAGGCTGAAACCCTGTATCTTCATCAGCAAGTGCTTCAAGTCCGGCTCACTTTCAGAATGCAAGGTTGCTTGGCAGAGTTACAAGGGGAAAACAAACAAACAAACACAACAGGAAACTATCTTCATCTCATGAACCGCTCCTTTAGAGAGATTCAAAACAATCCATCCACAGAGTTGCACCTTATGTTCCGTCGGGAATTAACAGGCAAGATCATTCCTCCTTCTGACGCAGGGAGGCAATGTCCCTCTGGAGCTTCCGCGGGAGGCCGGCTTTCAGCGGTTCTGAAGCTGGTCACCAGGTGGCGCACGGAGCCTGTGATTCTTGTGACAGCAGGTCCCGATCTGGAATTTCTGACTGGCTGGGCGGGTTATTCCAAAGTGAAAGTGTCTGCCTATCAATGCTGTGGCATCTTGGCCAACACTAGGAATCATGACTAACTCATCGTTCCCATTGTTCAAGGATCTGATGCAAGAATGCGTGGCCGGCAAGAGGGACTGGAATTTAAAAGGAGAAAGAATCATCGAAAACAATGGGAATTGATAGTTTCCCTGCGGTTGTTACCAAGCTTCAGGATGGTTCACCTCCAGCCCTCGGGGCAGGGGCTCACAGGAGTGTCAAAGTTCTCAAAAATAGATCAAACCAACTTTCCCTTAGAAACAAAACAAAACAAAAAACCTTGTTGTTCTTTAAAAAATACTCTGGAGACAGAACACACACAAACCAGGCACTGAAAAAGAAAAACCAGGAGCTTAAGACGTACTTGTGGAAGGAACTGACAATAATGCTCAGGCCGTTGGAACTACATGGAACAAAATGACTTAAGCTTTGGCTCGTGGGACGCTCTGGTGATCTCAGAGCCACGGAGCTCACAAGTACAGAGTGTGAGAGACTGCACAGGCATCTCACCCCAGTTAGGGTGGCTTCCACAGAAACCGGGAATTCCTGGGTGGTTCGCACAGTTAACGTGGCTGCTCACTGAAAAGGCTGCAGGTTTGAGTCCCATCCCGGTGACCCTCTGGCACCTTGGGTTGGGGGTGACTTGATAGGAGCTAGTTGAATCAGTTCAGAGACTCAGAACCTGTCGTCCTCAAGCCGTGCCTGTGTTCTCTTCCTTCCCGTCTTGGTCCCCCGCACGACAGAGCAGAAAGAAGGAATGGCGAAGCGTAGGGGAGCTCCGACTGCCTGCAGTGACAATGCTACTGACCTGGGGCAGACACAAGGGCTCCTGGGAGCAGAGCATGTCAAGAACGCTGGCTTAGGCCTTTCACAAGCCCTGATGGAATAGTGGGTTACACCCGGGACGACTACTAGAGATGTCAGCAGTTCGATACCCCTGGTTGCTCCACAGGAGAAAGAGGAGGTTTACTACTCCTGTCAAGGGTGTAAAGTCTCAGCAACCCAGAGGGAGAGCTCTGCTCTGTCCCGTCGGGTGGCTCTGAGTCAGTCACCTGGATGGCAGGGAGTGAGGGCGGGGACCCACCACACCAGAGTCCAGTGAGGAATACACTGAGGGTGAGGAATCCGGTGGTCTCATCCTTCAGCCCTTGGGACATGTTCCTGTGAGCAGGACGCTGTTTTGATCACTCAGCAGCACTGCTGTGAGAGGACACGCTGGAGAACAGGGCCAGAGCCAGCCACAGCCGTGGTGACCGACACACCCCAAGGGCAAGCCACCTGTACCCTGTCGCATCAGCCAGGAAATGAACAGACCAAGCTGGATGTCGAGGTCATAACAGACAACACGCTGGGATAAAACCGGTGTCCTGAAATAGTCGTAAAATGGAATTCCATGGTCAGAAAGTTGTCTTATTAGAAAAGGCATCAACTTCACAGACCGTTCCCTTAGTGTGCTTGAAATACCCCGTTTGGGAGAGTAAGGAACCAAAGAAGCGAGTCACGGATCCATGGTGAGGGGGCATGGGTCTTACTCGATGTTTATGGAAAGGAACTGAAAAAGCGAGTCACGAATCCATGGTGAGGGAGCATGGGTCTTACTCGATGTCTATGGAAAGGAACCGAAAAAGCGAGTCACGGATCCATGGTGAGGGGGCATGGGTCTTACCCGATGTTTATGGAAAGCCATTTAGCAGTGTCAACAGCCTCAAAAACGCATGCCGTCGCAATCACAGTTCCACGAATTTCTCCCCCAAACCTGAGGGTGGGCGTGGGTACATGCCGGGCTACAGAGAGGTTGGCTTAAATTGATTGGTGGGTTCCTAACATTCAAGTGTTCAGCAGCAGGGCTTGGTGACAGTGTGGGACGTCCAAATCCCAACAACAATTCAGCAGTGAGAAGCAATACCTGTTCACTAATAGGAAAACATTCCCAGGGCACATACTCCTGAAGGCCAAGTTTCCCAAGAAACACATAAACCGTAATGTAATGTTTGAAAAAAATTGGTGTAAATATATATGTGTGTATTCATTACATACATGCAATATTTATCATCTGTTCATATATTGTCCATATACCATATATTTATATGTGTATGTATATATTCAAGGGATGTGTGTATGTGTGTTTAGTCAAGGGAAGAAGCTTCCAGTTATAAAATAAGGCTGGTGATTGCTATGCACTGAAGCAGACCCATGTGTGTGCTGATAACCAAGGTTCAAATGGAGAGCCCACGAAAAATCTGCAGAATGTGAGATGAGCCCTTGACATTCAGAAATGCCATGGGGGTAAAGGCATGAAGAGACAATGAGTAGACGCCAAAACAACAAGTCATCTTTGGGGCCACTGCAGTCCTGATTCACAAACCGAAAACACAAACCAAAACAATCGAACATTGGTAGCACGGCAAAGCTTTCAGGAAACCGTGGACTGCATAAATCTGAAAGGAATTAAGCACCAGGCACCTTTCAGCTGGGGTGTGATATAAAATCAATGCCTGGGATTAATCGGATTGCAAACCAATAAAATCGGTCTCGGGTCTTCATCCTGCATTCCATGCCAACAGAACCTTAAGCTTCTTGTGCAGTGGGTTTAAGGAGGTCCAGATTCACTCCGGGTTAACGACTCTGGGTCACACTTCATCAGGACTGCATCAACAGACTGAGTATTAGTCACACTGTGCAAGCTATTCCATGCCAGTGAGTCCAGGAGAGATTTTCATGTGATCCCATTTAAACCAGCGAAACATCTGGACGGTGTGGAAACTATTCTGTAAGGCACAAGAGGACCACACGCTCAGAGGAGACCTCAGCCATGAGACGGAGGTCAGGCCCGGGAAGGCTGCAAGGAGCAACTCCACGGAGGGGGCTACTTACGATGAAGCCAAGTTTCTTGTAGTCCCGGGTGTACATGGACTTGCGCTTCTCCATGCTGCCGCTGTTGTTATTGGGCTCTGACTCAGCATCAAAAGCGATTCTTCGAAGTTCAAATATGATGTCTCTCTGAGCCTAAAAGAGTTTGGAGAAGCAAAGTAAATAACAAGAAGCCCTCACTTTCATGGTGTGAAAGCCCACACCCCCTCCTCATGCCCCAGGGCTAGATGAATCCCTGTCTTCCGGCAAAAGAAAAACAGATGCAATGGAAGACGGCCAATGTTCTCCATGAAGGCTTTGCCCACTTGTCCTCCACTGGCCACAGCCTCTGTGGGTCGGGCCTGGCTTTATTCCACAAGTAAGCTCACTGATCCTACTGAGTCATTTGGAATGCAACTAGAACTGCGGGTGCTAAGTGAGAGCCACAAGGGGCTGGGGCTGGGAAGGCCAACTCGGAGAAACTGCACGAAACAGAAGTTGATTGAATACTATTCAAGTTACTAAGGGATCCCTGGCTCCACCAGAAGTGACGTCACCGAAACGCAGTCAGTGAGAAAAAGAACCATCTCAGAGGAAGGGCTTCTCATCAGGGAAGCTGTTCCAACAGTGAGATGCCTCGCTTGCCGCCACTGGAGCAGGCCGGCCGGAGGAGCCTCTTCTCTCTGGGCCGAGTCCACACGGCCTGGCCAAAACTGTGGGGTGCGCTAGATGGTCTCTCTAAGCCTCCCCATCATTCTTGCAGAGCAAATGGCCTCCTGCCATGGATGAAGTGCTGCGGCAGCCACACACTTCGCCTGTGAAATTCACATCTGCAATCCATCAGGCCCTCACGTGCCAATAATGAGTGCCGTCCTTTCCAAAGCTGCAGCACTGGGTAAGTTGAAAATGTGCTACGGAGCGGCTCCCAGCTGTCTCCTGTCCCTCTGCACAGTAAAAAGTCCCCAAAGTGCCTGTCCTCAGAGTCCTGGCTGAGGCATACAACCAAATATTAAAATGCAAGCCCCCACGTCAGGTTTTAACCTAGGACGCCATTCTGACGCAGGTCAGTGCAGAACGGAAACAGCCGAGTGCAGGCTGCAGGATCAGTACCTCTCAGACCTACCATGGGGCCTGAGTTAGTTAATTGTGCCAGCCTGGCCGATAATCACATGTGGCGCTGGTTGAAAGGCGGAGGGATAAATGGGTGGTGAAGCCTCGCCTTTCTAGTTCTAGTTCTCGGGTCTCTTGCTTTGTGATGGTCGCACCAGGGTGCAGCTGCCTTAGCAGTTCCCTGCTTCAGCTTGCAAGATTGACGTCCTACAAGACATCCCCAAGGAGAAGCCGCATGGACCTATCCCGATGCAGCCCTGGGTGCTGGAGCAGCCGTGTGGAGACCCCTGCTAGTGCTGAGATGCTTATTCGTTTACTGACTCAGCTTTCCTCCTGCAGTCGGCATCATTGCCTCTGTTTTGTGAGGTGGAGGACTTTGTGGACTGGTGTTGGGTTATGGGCTTGGGCAGCATTGGGTTGGGATGTTTTCATGATGCACCTTTTCTTTACATAAAACTCTCTCTTATATATGAGTTGCTGTGGATTTGTTTCTCCAAAGTACCTAGACTAACACAGGGCCCCAGTCATCTGCAGACATCACAGCAAAGCCACTGCCATCCAAGGAATAGGTGCCAAAGGGAGAGGTCTGTGCCCAGTGACATCAACTTTTCTTACCCAACAAAAATAATGGATGTGTCCCCATAGGTACGTGGGCCCAACCAAAGAACCATTTTCTTGATTGTGAATTGGCCTGGAGCCAGCCAGTGACTCAGGGCAGTCCCGGGCAAAATGGGACCAAAGGATGCCAGCCCCTGTGACAGCCCCACGGTTGGAGGCAGATCAGACCACTGTGATCCTGTGGGGTGTCCTTGGCGGATATTCAGAAGTAGACTGCCAGGCCTTTCTCCCTAGTTCACCTTAGTCTGGAAGCTCTGCCGAAACGAGTTCAGCATCATAGCAGTACACAAGTCTTCCAGGGACAGATGGGTGGTGACTGTCAGTGAGGTGGATTGGCAGGTAGTCCAACCTGGGTCTCCTGCCTGGGAGATAAGCATGCTCCCATTGAACCATCACTGTCCCCTCTCTAGCTTGATCCTCAACTCACCTAAATTTGAAAGCCACCTCTGCAAGTCTGCCAGCCGGCACTCACCTGGTCCTGGGGGTCCATCTTGGTCATCATCCTGTCTTCCAGGAGGTTGAAGGTGAGCACCTGCAGCACGTACAGCTGGTGCGCCATCTCATTGTTGATGGCCCGCTGGGCTCGGATGACGTGCTGGGGAGATGGAGGGTGCACAGGCGAAATGAACCAAAGAAACAGCCAACAGTAAACACGAGTGCCCATCCCGATGCCAAGGAGAACCTCCCAAGTTTTCATTGGGAGTGCAGAGTGGACTGGGGGGACTACCTTCAGGAGAAAGGTGGGCATACAGGTGACCTGGGAGCTTTCTTTCCTATCTCAGGGGCCAGGAAGGTTCCTTCCTGCTTTGTAAGCCAGGACAAAGGAGAAGACCTAGTCCTACTCTGTAGGAGGATATAGATGAAGGGCAGGCCCTGGATACACTAGAGACATGAGCGGCACAGTTCAGAGACAGATGTGCCTAAAACGGGAGCACCTGGGGAGGAGAACGCCGAGTCTCTACAGCAGAGGCCTCCTCCATGCGCCAACTCACAAACCAAACTACTCTCATCGAGCCTATTCCAGAGCACAGGCTGCTAGTGCCCCTGCACATTTCCAAAGCTGCACATTTTTACAGGGGTAGAAAGCTGCATCTTTCCCCCGTTGTGGTTTTAAACTGCTGGCCTTGCAGTTAACAGTCCAGCACATAACACACTGCCCACCAGGGCATCCTCAGCGACTCTGCCTTCATCTTACCCTGACAGGTGGAAAATAGGTAAATAAAAATACACAAAAGCGACACAGAAATCAGGTCTATGGTTAATTCCCAGTGAAACGATGCAAGGCACATGCCTGCTATAATGCAGTGAGCAAATTCCCGGGCTCGACTGTACTCACTTGCTAGCAATGGGTAAAACAGTAAAAGGATCCTTCCCCCTAGAAACAGACCTGAAAATGGAACACAGACAGAGAAATGGCAGCAAGACTAGCAGCTGCACGAGCCTTGGTTCCCCTCAGATCTGGATCTTGAACCATTAAGTTGCCACAAACCAAAGGAACTCGATTAATTCTATTGCCGCTATGACTTATTTGCCATGAGTTAACTGCAATGAATGAATTGCCGAAGCCAACTAATCCAGCAGCTGGACCTAACTGATAGCCTCTTGGCATTGCCCACCCAAGCAACACCCATTGCCCTGGGGTCAATTCCAAGTCATAGCCACGCTAAACAGGGTTTCTGAGACTGAAGATCCTCACTGGAACAGGCAGTCTCATCTCCTACCCCCCTTGTGGACCAGCTGGTGCCTTCGAATTAATGACCTTGTAGTTAGCAGCCCAGTACTTAACCCCCAGACCCACCAGCATTCCTATGGCAGTGATCACAGTTATCACGAAGAGATGGCTACCAGCCAGTCAATGTGGTTAAACCATGGTTCAGACTAGTTACTTTGGAAGTACCAGACCCAGCAACGTCTTGTGGGCTAGACCACTTTCCCCCGCTGTGCTCCGTCATGGCTATTCCATAGGTCGCTCTTACCTGACCAGCCCTAAGTGACGGTTCAGTGTAAGCCAGAGACGCCCCCTATGAAAAACTATGCAATCTTTAAGAAAAACTGTCCTGAAGGTCAGGGCTGGAAGGAAGTCTGGGCCCTTCGGATGCTATCTGGAAGCCCCCACCCCAGTCTGGCATGCAGCCCTTGCAGTGGGCGCCAGTGTCCCAGGGGATAATGGTGAAGGAAGAATGAGGACCAGAGATGGGGACAGCACAATACAAAGTTACTAAACCCACATGATGGGGAGAAGTCAAATGAGCAGGTCTACCCTTCAATCTTCTGAACAGAATGTGAAAGGGGAGGGCACAGTAATGGACAACGTGTCTGGGTATCTAAGTTCTTAGCAGAATACTAACAGTGAACTGCCAGCCATCACATTATCATACAAAATCCTACTGATCTTTGAGACAAGGTAGATACAGTCATTCCTCTGGACAGACATTCCTCTGGACATACCCACTCATTCCTCTGGACAGTCTACGCTTTCATGCCACGTTTATACCAAGAATAGGGTCAGAACTTCCTGGATCAGCATTTACAGCATTTCTCCCCTCCTTTCCTGGCACAAACCTTCACTGAACTACTTTAATATCAGGATTTCTCTTTTATTGTGAGCCAATATAATAGAAAAATAATCATATGCATGTCTACCAACTTATCATTGAACTTGGATGTGAAGCCGTGCTACTAAGACTGAGTCCAGATTCCAGTTCCAAGAGAAAGAAGTTCATTGTCCTTGAAGAACTTCAGCGCCTCTTTTTATCAAACAATGAAAATTCCACTTGTGGGTTTTTTGTAACTTTGACCATCAGGAAGCTTAAAAATAAAACGCAATGAAAACCTGCAATCCTTAATTGGCCTTGGGTTCTAGGACATTTATTTCCTTTGTCCTTGTAAGGTTTTTGTTCTTAACTGGCCTCATTACATCGGAGAGACAGTGTGCGTTTGATTATAAGCTCTCCTTCGAAATGACACGTACAGAAACCAATGTTTTTAAAGAGAAACCAATCACAATGGCCTTTTTGAGCCCTTGGTTGAACGTGAAGTAGCAGAGGAGGCCTTGGGAAATCTTGCCATCTCTGAGTTCTAAAACATTCTCAAGGAAACCTTCTGAGCTTCTTTTTCACCAAGGCTTAAGATCCTTTATGCATCGTAAAGAAGGCGTGGGTTGCATGCATGTCTGTGCTGCCTTCCTCTTATAGAGGAAGAGGAAGAATTTCAAGACTTCTCTCGGGAGATGCTATCTTCCCAGCTAGCTACCTCATTAAAGACAGTCCAGCTCAGACTGGTGCATATTTTTAATTCACAGATCCCTGACTTCCTTGTCCTTAGCTTCCATCCAGTGAAGACCCCATTATTACCCAGTGATAATGCAGAGCTAAACTGTGCCCTTGAGGGTTTACAAGGCTCTCACCTTTCAGAGGCAGACTGCCACACCCATATTCAGAGCTGTCTAGGAGGGGCTCAAACTAATAACCTTTTGGGCTCACAGTCAAAAGTTTAACCATTTGCACTTAGATGAGGCTTAAGTGCAAAGCTTAGGCGATGGACCCTGTAGAAACCCTGACCCACTGAGTGAGATTTCCATCTCCACCTGCCAGGGCATGTTTCCTTTGTCTTTTCCTCTAGAGCACTTCCAGAGACTGCTCCCACCCATCCAAGGAGGCAATCCTTTGTGGGAAATCCTTGTTTATTCTCATTTCAAAAGCCCACTTTTTACTTATCGTTCCCACTGCTTGGAAGTGAACAAACCACAAACCCAAGCCAACAGAGGAGAAAGATCTACGCAAGCGGTCACCGCCTGCAGGTACTCACTGTTAGAATGATGGAACGCAGCTGCTTCTGAGCCAAAATGTTCGCCATCTCCTGTTGAAGAAAGAAAACACCCGTACCAAGGCTCCGGTGAGAAAAATGCATTTCAGCGTGGTCAAAAAGGGCTCTGTCCTGGGGTGGGCGTCACAACTGTATATCAGCAGTATTTCTTAGGGAAGAGTTAATTCAAACAGACAGTTGCATTCAAATGATTTGGGTCCACTTAGATTACGAAGCCATGCCCAAAAGCAAAGGAAAGACATGTGGGCACCTGTACTCATTTTGAATTTCTCCTGGCAGGCAAAGGTGAGTGCTATACAGCAAACAGTCAACAGGAAAGCAATGGTTCTCCATTAGGAAAGGGTATTAGACTATGCACAGGAAGATTTTGCTGGGCAACACATGCCTACGCCAAAGTGATTCCTGTATTACAGAACCATCACTTTAAAGACCTATGATCTTCAAATGGCCATTCCATCTGAATCTGAACAAATCCAGTCTTCTAACCCTGCCCTTCCCCGGGATTTGAAAATGGTTGATGCATGCGAATGGAGAAGCACAATTCTCTGGGCAGGTGCTAAGTCACACAGTCCCCAAACGGCATTTTGAGACTTCATTTCTACAACGTGAGCTTGTCTGGCATAAGGTATCTTGGGGAAATTTGAATAAATGAAATGATTCACAGATCCCCGTGGTAAGTGTGGACCAACAGAGATTAAGATGGTTCAGCACCGTTTTAATGCATATATTAAAAAATGAAAATACTGCTCATATTCAGGAAGGCATTTGAACACTGCTGTTGCTTTTTTTGTGGGGGAAGGTGGTCATTTTTCTACTTTTACTGGGTAGAGAAAACTACATGGTGACTTAAAAAAACACAACTCTGAATTGTATGAAGGTTGAAATAAACTTGCAGGAAGCCAGGAGAACTGAGAACACAGGGAGAGAGACTATGGAAGGGACACAAGCCAGGTAGACAGGTGCAGGAGGAGGCGGGAGGCAGCCAGGGGCAGGGCGGGCTGACTAACGCCAACAGAGGGGAAATGGTGGACTTACAGTCAGAGGACAATCAAGGATGTCAACATTGCTCTCTACATCAACCTAACGGCGTCCCCGCCACCACAGAAAGGGAAGGCAGGCAGGAGAGAAAGGGGTGGAAATTCAGAGGGCTCTGTTAGAGGCTGACCACTTTAGTTCTGTGCCCCTGCTGACCCACTCCTTTGAAGAGAAGAGAGCATTTACACCGCAAGGTGGTTCAAAAGCACTAGAGGGGTTAAAGTCAAAATCCAACAGAGGTTCCTCTCTCAAGCTCTTGAAAGCAAGAGAGACAGGGCAATGGACAATCAGACATCAATTAAACAATCACCCAAAGGGGCCTGCCCTTCCGGGGTTTGAGAGACCCAGGCGTACCCCCACCCCACCATTGAGCGGATAGCTAACAAAAGTCTCAAAGAACACAATAGTTCTTTTGATTTGTTATTTTATAAACTAGGGCTATAAATTAACAACAATAAAAGGTTTCTGCTAAAGAGAGGGAGAAGATTCTTCTCTGTGCCTGTCGTAGTCTATCAATATATGAGATCTTAAGATAAGCGGGATGGGAAAACCTATTTCGACTAGAGCAATGGTAGCGACCTATTTACAATATTTATCTCCTTATTAAATTTGTGGCCACCTCCAGGATCTGGAGATTGTCTTTTGCACCTTGGGATTTCAAGCTGAGAGCACTGTGTCTGGCAGAATGCAAATAATTAAAGCTTGATAGAGGAACAAATAAATGTTTTTTGTACTACCTCTCAAAGACCAGGCGTTTGATCAGAGAGAAAACAGAAGCCGCGCAGTTTTTTGTTTTTGTTCTCTGGATCCTACATCAAGGTACTGATCGCTTCTCGGCCTTATAGCTAAGATCAGGTGTAGTACCTATATCAAGGAGTTGTTTCCGTAAACTTTACAATCTATAAACTATCTATAAACCAATCATCTATAAATCTATGGGGAACATTTTAGAACTTCAAAATGGTATATTTACAGCTATCAACGCGTTACTAGGAGTCCCGGTTGTGCAATGGTTGTGCAATCGGCTGCGAACCGCAGGTCAGCAGTACGAAACCACCAGCCGCTCCTCAGGAGGAAGATGAGGCCTTCTTCTCCCATGAAGAGTTACAGCTTGGAAAACCTGCAGGGGCAGGTCTACCTTGCCCTCTAGGGTGGCCGTGAGTCAGAAGTGACTTGGAGGCAGTGAGAGATGGCTTGACATGGAAGGATGTCCACACAATAGTCTGTGTACACAGCAGTTTTAAGGCACTGTGCGTCTAGCACGCTCCCAATTGGTGAAGCAACAACGACTCCAGGTGAGCACAGGCATAGGGCACAGCAGGAAGTGGTGCCCTGCCAGCTACAAAGCAGGAGTGAGGAGAGCAGTTCCCTGTGGGAAGGCAGTGATGGGGAGAGGGTTTTACAGCATCAGCACTTTCTACCAAATCGCTTCATTGTTTTCCTTTTTTCCTTTCTTTCAATTGTGCTTATCAGAGACATAAATAGTTGTAAAGAAACTTGGAAGCACATTGATCAAAATAGATGAGATTTAAATGCTAACCGGAGTCCTGGAAAATAGTTGTAAGGAAAACGACCCATTATCCACTTGGCATAGCAGCAACTGTTTCCCCTATGAAAGCACTCCCTCCCTGCCTTATTTGTGGGCTGGGAACCCGAGTCAGGAAAGGGAGATGCTCCTATGTCCTGTGGGATGGGGAAAGCCCAAGGGAAGCTGAAGGGGACCCTACAGAGGAGGAAGTTCGACCCCAGGCGGCAGCACACGCCTGACCCAGTCTGGTTCCAGTGCTGCTGCGGGTCACCTCTGAGTTGCCCTGACTGTGGGCCAGGTCGTGGAAAGCAGACGGAAACATGGTCAAGTCCTGCACCACCTTCATAATCACGCTTATGCCCAAGAGCAGGGTTGTGCCCACTGTACATTCTGAGTGCCGGCTAACCAGGGAGATGCCTCAGCCAGCACAGGATCAGGCAACAGTCTGCGGTGATCCAGAGGATTTCCCCCGACTAATATTCAGAAGTAGATTATCAGACCTTTCTTCCTAGTTTATCTTTGTCTGGAAACTCTACTGAAACCTGTCCTCCGCTGAGTGGTCCTGCCGGCACGTGAAATGCCAGCGGCATAGCTCCAACCATCACCTCCTTCACTCACTCGCTGCCCACAAGGCGATTCCGACCCATGGCAACCCTGCAGGGCAGGGCAGTCCGCGACTGGGCCCCTTCTAACCATCACAGCGGCACACAAGCTACCACAGGGTGGCACACTGGACAGGCAGGTGGTGGACACTCTCCGTAAGGCTTACTAAATAAATGCAACAGGGAAAAATCATGCTGTCTGCTTATCGATGGAACAGCGCTGCCTAGGGAGGCAACCTCTGCCGGGAAAGGCGGGATAATAAGCCCCATCGCGGTAGGCAGGTGGAGTCGAGTCAGTTCAAAGTCACAGCCACCCCACAGCAACCTGCACCATCCTCACAGCTGTTCTTATGTTTGAGCCCCCTGATGTCGAAAATAATTCCAGACCAAAAAACACATAAATAAAAACAATGCACCCCACCCCTACACCCACCCTGCCCAGACCAACAGCATTCTTGGACTCATCTGAAATGCAACCATTTTTTTTTTCAAGTCCAGGGCAATTTTCCATAGGCACGTACACAGTGCTTAGCTTTTTCTTTCTTTTTTTACATCATTTTATTGGGGGCTCATACAACTCATCACAATCCATCCATCCACTGTGTCAAGCACATTTGTGCATTTGTTGGCCTCATCATTCTCAAAACATTTTCTTTCTGCTTGAGCCCCTGGAATCAGCTCCTCATTTTTAGCCTCCCTCCCTCACGGACCCTTGATCATTTAATATTATTAATATTATTAACTTAATATTATTTTGTCATGTCTTACACTGTCTGATGTCTCCCTTCACCCACTTTTCTGTTGTTCGTCCCCCAGGGAGGGGGCTATTTTTTCTTTCAAAGACCAAATTAACCATATGATAGGTTGTCGACTGTCTGCTGGATTATCTGCACTCGACCTTCCTTCTTAGGAGTGTCCTCCACCCTGGTGTGACACTAGTTGACCGCTCTGGGAGGGTGTATGATTCCTCCCATGGTAACACAGGGCCAAACCGTGCCATGCCGGTTTCTTCCTTGCTTTCAGTTTGATTCCCAGAACCCAAACCTGAGGGGACAACAGGATTCCGTTTGCCGGCCCAGTTCCCCTGGTCCTGAAGGCAGCATGGGTGAGTACTTGATGCGCCCTGGCCACTCACCTGCAAGTCCATAGAAAAATAGGCAACCTGAGGACTGAGTTTACCTTGTTTCTAGATCCAGGGATCCAAATGATGTCACAGGACATGGGGCAGGAGGGATCTTTCCTTTGCTCTGTCTCAAGCTCTTCTTTCACAGAGAAAGGAGACCCCCAGAAAACAACTCCAGTCTGTTGCCCCCATCCACGCAGCCCCCATGTGGTTTGGCTGAGGGGCTGGGTTTGGCCAAGAAAACAACACCCTCCTGCAGTGCCCAGGCAAGATGGTGTGTGCAGGGTAACAGCTGCCAGGCAGTTGGCTGGGCTATTTGGGAGTTATCCTCAACTCAATATTTAGATTTAAATATCAAAGAAGCAGGCTCACCCATCACCCCACAAAGACCCTGAAAGCCCCCCTTCAAAGTTCCAGCTGAGTCCCAGAGCCATCAGCACAGGCCAGAGGAGGTTAGGCGCCTCTGCAGTCCAGCCAACACCCAACAAGTATGCAGTGATTCTACGCTTCGTGCGACCCAAAGCCCCAGACCCCAGGGATAAGCACCGATTTTAAATGGAACCCTAGCCAGAACCCCTCACACATTGGGTCATGGAGGTTCAAAGTCCCTAGCAACCAGAGGTAAAATAAAAATCACAAAATTCTCCACACGGCATTCCTCAGCATGCCAGCTTTCTAACCGTGTCTAACACAACTGGCAGGGAGCAGCCACCCAGGTGCTCAGATCTCACAGGCCAGCATTTCGACATGAAGTCAGCTGGCACACGGGACACGTGATATTGACGGAACAATCAATGCCAGGGGCTTTTTAGGCGGAGAGGGTGTCAGATTTCAAGGCATGGTCGCATTCCACTTTTATACACATCCTCCCACAATTCTTCCCTCATTGAGGAAGAACCACAAGTTCCACAGGTTAACAAGGACGGACAAAGGCGTGTTGCAAAGCTTAGGATGCCTATTTATGCTGGGAGGGAGCGCCTTCTTCCTGCTGATACAAAGGACGGGAATTGGACTTCTTGGTTCTCCCAGGGCATATGCACCTCCAGACAGAAGAAATGCCATCAAGCAGAGTCCTTCGGACACAAGCACAGTTCCTTCCATCAGGGGCCACGGTCTGCATCGTTTCCCGTCAGCATCTCACGCCTCCCGGACAATGCATGAGACCTCTCCGGAGTCAGTTTTTCTCATCAGGACCACGGACACAACTTCCCTCAGCGAGGATCCAGTAAGTAATGACAGATTACGGGGGCTTCCACCTGGGCGTCTGCTGCAGCAGCTACATCTTCACCTTGTCGACAGTTTGCGTTTCTGGGTTCGATTTCATTGGATTGGAAGGCCTCTACCACTGGGACTGTTGGCCAGAACTTTCTCACCTCGTCTAGCTCCCGCCAGGTTTGTTAGCAATTCCAGGCTGGCCGCCCAGCAGGCGAGCACATTTGGCAGGGAGCACCCACCTGTGGGCAGAAGCCCCTGGGTGGGAAAGAATGGCCTTTTCCTGCACAAGCAGGTGCCCAGCCCTTGACTCATTCTTAAGACAAAAGGAATGCAACGTACCTGCCGCCTCTCATCAGGGGCCTTCAGGAAAAGCGCGTTGATCACCGCAATGGTGTATGTTTGGATTTCCTGGTCGGACCTAGGGAGACAGGCCAAAGAGTCGGACTAGTCAACCCCCTGGGTCAGATGGTGTTGAGGTCACTGTCAGCACCCATCCCCACCCCTCTACCCCACCTCCCCAAAGGGGGCCAGAGATGGGTAAGACCTATAAAAATGCAACTGGGACTAAGAATGCAGTTCCCCAAGCACGGGGCTATAATCCCTGTGGATCTCCGATCTGGGTAACAGACTGCTCCTTGGAAATCTCCCAGAAAGTAGAAGCAGCTAGCCTGCATCCCACTCCCATTCCTTTTTTCCCATGCTCCTCGATTAGGATTAAAAACACAAAGTCAAGAGATGCAGTGGGTGTCCCTGTGTGTCCCTGTATGAGTGTGTGTGTGTGTAATTTTCTGTCTGATGCATGAAGTATATTGGGAAGCAGTCGTAGGTATCCTGACGTTCCTGGGCTTATGAATGCAATGGCTTTGTCTCCGTATTACATATTCGTAAAATCTATTTCAAAATATAAGCTTCCGAATAACAAGAGACACAGCTATTTCTATTGACACTTTTTTTTTTTGCAAAAAAGAAACCCGAAATGCTATATGAAGTCCACATCAACTATGCTTTCTCCCTGCATTCAGCTCATAACTTAGTGCCATCGAAGCAATTCCAGAGTCGAATTGCTCTGTAGGGTTTAAAGGACTGTAAATCTTTTCAGAAGCAAACAGCCTCATCAGTCACCGTTGAAGCAGCTGGTGGCTCTGAACCATCCACCTTGTGATTAGTAACGCAATGCTTAATCCCATACACCAATCACCAGGGCACATAATAAAATCGAGAAATAAGAGAGACAAAGCACAAACAAAAAGAGACAGCCTATGAGTTACTGTTAGAAGGCTGTGGTGCGTTAACAAGGAGCCCTGCTGGAGTAGTGGTTACACATTTGGCTGCAAACTTCAAGGTCAGAAGTTCGAAACCATCACTCTGAAGGAGAAAGATGGGGTTTTCCACTCCTGTAAAAAGTTACATTATTGGGAACTCACAGGGCATTGAGTTGATTCCAATTCATAATGGCCCTATAGGTCAGACTAGAACTGCCCCTGTGGGTTTCTATGGGAGAAGAACACCCCATCTTTCTCCAGTGGAGCAGCTGCTGACTTTGTGGTTTATAACCCAAATCATAACCCACTATGCCACTAGGGTTCATTTTTGGCCTCCTGAAACCCAAAATAATTTATAACATAGCCCTGCAAATGGTGTGAACAGTGAGGCTGTCTGTTTCTGTAAAGATTTACAGTTTTCCTAGGAAACCTTGGGAGAAAGACTGGGATTTCTACTCCCACAAAGAGTTATAGTTGTATAAAGTCACAGAAGCAGTTCTATCCTGTCCTATAGGGTTGCTCTGAAACAGCATCAACTCAATGGCTGTGAGTTTGGTGTTTGGTTAGGAAATCCTAGGGAGCAGATCTACATTGCCCATAGGATTGCTGTGTGTCAAAATTGTGGGGTTTGTTTCTTTGTTTTGATACAATGGAGTTCTTACCAGCTCAATGCCATCACAGTCAACCTCACTAATTACAAATGCACAGAGTGAAGGGGAAGTGGGGGTGGAAAGGACCAAAGAGTGCAGGCTATGGGAGAAGCTATCTTCCACTTTACAGATCAAGCCTCTATGAAAAATGCCTTTATTATAAAATATCTATCACCTTGAGCTTAGCTAAGGAAGAAAGAAGCCTATCTTTAAAAACTCCTAATTGACTATGAAGAAATTCATTATATCAGACAAAACACTATCCTCATGTAGTTAAGGAAAGATTATATTGAGAACTTGAGAGAACTAATTGTTTTTTTATGTCTTAATACAAGTAAGATTCTACTTACTGACCAGAGTTTATTCATGGGTACCAGGGGCTGGAGGGAACAGGGAGGGGGAGCCACTGACTTTCTGTCCTCAGTGATGGGAAATCTGGTCACACGCCCTGGTGTTGGTGGCACAACACGAGTCATTCAGTTGGTGTCTCAAATCGTACTCGTAGAAAATGCTGGATTTGCAAACGCGGCATTATGCATAGTTTTACAGCAATGAAAATCATAAGATTTTTTTTTTAAACGCAAGTCTGCACTGATACTACCAGGATTTATCAAACAAAAGTGACTGAGTGCCAGGCACTAGAACCAGAGCACCAAACTCAGATCCAGTGGAGTGGATGTGGGGAAGTGGCCATGCCAGTTCAGTGGGGTAGGTGGCTTACTTCAAATCAAGATTTTCTTTTTCCGGGTGGTTAGTGGTTACATGTTGGGCTGTGATCTGCACGGTCAGTGGTTCAAAACCCTTAGCAGCTCCTAGGGAGAAAGACTGGGCTTTCTGGTCCTATGAACAATTATAGTATCGGAACCCCCCAGGGGGTCAAGATGAGTCAGCATTGACTGGATGGCAGTGACTTTTGCTTGGATTTATTAGTGCAGTTAATAGAATCACCACTTAACATAGCCCAAGGCACTGTCCTGGAAGCCCTCTCCACCCCCAAAGAAGTGTTTCCAAGCTTACCCTTGAAGGTGTGGAATCAGTTGGCCGATAGTGATCTCTTGCGCCACCTTCTGGTAGAGGTCATGGCTGTTGAGCACCATGGACTCCAAAATGGCCAAGGACCGCTGCAGGATGGAGATGTCGATGGCTGACTTGTTCACAAAACTTGCTATCTGAAAGCCCAAGGGAGGAACGATCAGTGGTCTGTGGTTGGCACAGCAGATGCGCAGAGACAGGAACACGTCAAGTAAACAGGAAAGGCCCTCGGGAGAATTCAGAGGTCCAGGATGTAGAGTATCAAGAATTACGGCAAGATGGCAAGAAGCGCATCAAGTCACCAATGGTTGTCGAAAAACACGATTTCGGCCCGATTTCTATAAGTCAACATAAGTCATGGTTTAAAAGGAACTGCTTTCGAAAATTAAGTCTGTCTAATTGGCCCGGCTAATTTTTCTCCACATTTCAGCAGATTATTTCAACATACGCAATGTAAGCATTTTAGAGTTCTTTGAGACAGTGATTTCACATGCACTGAAAGTCCCTCTTTCTCCATTCCCAGACAACTCGGTGGCCCTCAGTCGATGACTTTTATGCTCTCAGGTTCTTTAAGGACCTGCATCAATCCTATCTGTAAGCACATGTCAACTGGCCACTGCTTAGTCACTAGTTCCTTGCCCCGCTTTCCTTAACCAAGAACCCTTCCCTCCATGCTTCCAATTTCTTATGACTAAAAGAAATTCTTCTCATTGCGCACTGATTTAGCAAACAGGAGCATGTTTTTAAATCAGCAGTGTTAGAAGTTAAAATACCAGCTTAAGCTGCAAGACACCGCCACACCCCCACCACCCAAGTTAATCACTAAGGTCTCAAACATCATGAATCACAACTGGAGAGCAAAGTAAAACAAAGGTTAGAATAATAAATCGCAGTCATCCAAACACAGGGGTACCATAAAGGTTTTCTTTTAGAAGCATCATTAAAAGTTATTACTGTCTGTTGACAACTCACACTAAAAGGCTATGATTATCTCAGCATAATGACTGCGTCCTTAAAAGCTAAATAATTTGGTTCTATCGAAAAACAGACATTTGCCCCTTTGCCCTGTCGACACCAATTTCTCCCTTCCCGCTGTCTCATCGGCTCTTTATCCTCATCTCCTCCCCATCCTTGGGCATGACACATGCTTCCTGGCAATTTCCTGCCAACACCCCAATTGTGTCTAGGTCAAAGACTCCTTGGTGAAAGTTGGGGTGAGAGTTGGGATTCCAACATCAGTTTTTGCTTATGGTGGTGGGGAAAAATGGCATAGCATTTAAGGCTTTGTATTCCAACATGCTGCTCTTTTGCATTTCTCCCAAGGTTCCTTTTTTTTTTAAATCATTTTATTATGGGCTCATACAACTCTTATCACAATCCATACATATATCAATTGTGTCAAGCACATTTGGACATTCATTGCCCTCATCATTCTCAAAATATTTTCTCTCCACTTAAGCCCCCGGCATTAGGTCCTCATTTTTTCTTAAGGTTCTTAAAAGATGGTGTTATGTCATCTGAAGGCTAATCGACATGTTTATTCGCCCTGCCAAACTTCTTCGTTCTTCTCTACAGTCGACTCCACTCTATCAAGCTGGCAATTACTCTCATATAGGTTTAATGCTGAACTGAAGCTTCCTCTAAATAGAATAAAACCTCCTCGACTCTCACCATCACTATCAATGACTGCATTCATTGTGCACAATTTTCTCCACCACCGTTTTCCTCTTCCCAGGGTCTCCTATCTGTAGGATTCGGAGGTCCTCTAAGATTGACAATCCCTGGGTGGTGTAAAAGGGTAAGCATTCAGCAACTAAGGAAAAGGTTGGCAGTTCAAAACCACCAAAAGAGACAAGAAAAGAAATACCTGGCAACCTATTTCCAAAAGATCCGAGTCACTGGAAACACTGTGGAAGGCAGTTCCTGCACACCCTGGATCACCATAAATTGGAATCATCTAAACAGCAACTAACAACAACAACAACGACAGCAATCTTCTCTTCTCTTCAAGATCCCCTTTTGGTCTCCATTTATTAGATTCAGATGAGCTTGCCCACCTGACTTCCCACCAGCCTTCACCCCCTTTCTTCACTCATTTAATACTGGCACATCTATTAGGAGGTATTGATTGTGAGCCATACAACAGGCTTGTACTGTCCCGGCAGTCGATGAGCACTGATGTAGTTACATAATTCTCTTGTCATCTTGAAGATATATAAGTGTAGGGGTAGAGTCTAGCCTGTCAGTCAGGTCGGGCATGGCCTTCTCATAAGGAGCATCCTTGGAACGTCCTCCCTCTTTCTCTCTCTCTGCCTTCACCTACCGGCTCTCGAGTCTCTCTGAGAGCTGTCAGAGCCCACCGCCACTGGATCTATGACACTTTGCACCCACCAGCTGCCGATGTTCCTGTATTCTGTACCACTGCATGTGGTTTGGTGGGCCAAAAGAGGGATTTGTGGACTACCCTGTTTCTCCGAAAATAAGACAGTGTCTTATATAAATTTTTGCTCCCAAAGATGCGATAGGTCTTATTCTTAGGGGATGTCTTATTTTTCTATGAAGACTACGGTACACATTTATTGTTTATTGTTTTATTAAAAGAGACCTTGCACTTCCTGTCTGCTCCGGCTGTGCGGCAGCCAACAGTGAGCTGCGTGGCTGCACCCGCCGCTACAGTCCATAGTCCAGAGTTACGGTAGCAAAACTGTAAGTAGGTCTTTTTTCCAGGGGATGTCTTACTTTCGGGGAAACATGGTAGTACCGGACTTATGGCCTAGTATTGGATTTATGGACTTGATCTGGACTGAACTGGGAAGTTTTATTGATACACAATTACTCTTTAATATAAGGCTCTTTCTTACACCTATGTGAGTGTCACTGAATTTGTTTCTCTAGTCTACCTGGCCTAAACACAAATGTGGTCTGTACAGTTTATAATGGAAATAACCTTATAATTTTCCAGAGACATACAGATAAAAAAGAGAATCACTATGAAGTATTAAGTGATTATTCTTGTTATTGAAAAGGCGAATTTCATTTGGATTATTGCAGCGAAGCCTAAAATTCAATGAGGTGAAAATGAAACTCACGGTCTTTCTTCTCGCTCTTCTCTTCCCAATTAGCATCCTTTTCCACATTCGTCATCAACATTCATGATTCTCCTCCCCCTGATCTTATTCCCATCCCTGTGGGCACCCTGAGTCCCTCCCCTAGGCACCTCCCCCAAGTTGCAGGAGTAAGGAAAACTCGGGCACACAAGTCTCATTCTCTGCTGCCTAAAGCAGCATCTTCTTCGGCATCCTCTCTGTTCAAGCTTTCTCCAAATGGACATTGATTGACTACTTCCATCAATATCCTTTTAACAATATTTAATTTTAGCAAAAATCTCCTTTGGATTGCTCAGTGTTTCCTGATGGGAAGTACACGCTCTTATAATGGGTTCTAAAGTTCTACTCAAAGTATTGCCTTCCAGATCTCCCCAAGAGGCATGCTCAATGGTCAGAAATGGTCCGTTGTGGTTCTCATTGGATTCAGGCATATTTCTATCCCTCATACATATTCTAATTCCATTTGCTATTTGCATATGCACTTTGTAAAATGGTTTTCTCTCCCAAGAAATTAATCTCTTACTTTCAGCAAAGTCATCTTTATTTTCCCCCTATTAACTCACCTTTTCTTTGACACACAGAACCAATCATTTCAGCAACCCTATAGTGGGTTTTTTGTAAAACACCTAGCCAAGAATCTTTTTTTTTTCACCCTTAATTTCCAGTAGTTTTACCAGGACATTTAAATGACTATATAGTTTCAATTATTTAGTATGAATAATCAAAGCATCAAGGCTTATACAAGCTAATTGGTGTCCTTCTCCAAAGAACTAAAGACAAATCCTCTAGTGAGCATCACTGTCTATTTCTGGCTTGAAGACTACAAGTCTCAATGTAGCTAAGTGGTATGGCAGACGGTCTGGTTAAGTTTTAATTTTACTTGTCCCTCAAAGAGGTGGCGCTGTTGGGCAGCTAAGCTCAAAGTCAGCAGTTCAAAACCATCTGCTGCTCCAAGAGAACAAGATGAGGCTTTCAATTCCTGTGAAGAGTTTCAGTCTCAGAAACCAACAAGAGCAGTTCTGCCCTGTTATACAGGGCCGCTAGGAGTCTGCTCTGTCATAGGGGGTCGCTATGAGTCTCCCTTGTCATATAGGGCCGCTAGGAGTCTGCTCTGTCATATAGGGCCGCTGTGAGTCTGCCTTGTCATATAGGGCTGCTAGGAGTCTGCCCTGTCATACGGGGTCGCTACGAGTCTGCTCTGTCATATAGGGCCGCTACGAGTCTGCCCTGTCATACAGGGCCGCTATGAGTCTGCCCTGTCATACAGGGCCGCTATGAGTCTGCCCTGTCATATAGGGCCGCTATGAGTCTGCCCTGTCATACAGGGTCGCTACGAGTCTGCTCTGTCATACAGGGCCGCTATGAGTCTGCTCTGTCATACAGGGTCGCTATGAGTCTTCCCTGTCATATAGGGCCGCTATGAGTCTGCTCTGTCATATAGGGCCGCTATGAGTCTCCCTTGTCATATAAGGCCGCTATTTGTCTGCCCTGTCATACAGAGTCGCTATGAGTCAGAAACAACTTGGTGACAGTGAATCTGGTTTTGAGTTTTGTTGTCCTTCGAAAATTAATAATGGCATCCCTGGCCTCTAAGTTCATCCTAGCTCTACGATTACACTTTTATTATACTTTGGGCTGACACAGCTGAGTCCGTCTAAACCAGCTCGGGTGCAGCTTCTTAAAAGGAGGCCTTCATCATGCGGAGAAAGGAGAGAGAGGAGTTGGCAGCCACCACGTGGCCTACACCCACATGCTGTGGTTTCATTTTTAAATGGTTCCTAAGTAAAACAGAGGAAGATTTAGGTGATTTTTCAAACACTAAAGTGAACTACAATTTATGAATCAGCAGCACAAGCCATTAAAATCATGTAACGTTTTCTTAGAACCACTTACAATGAGATCTTAAAACGCTCGTGGGTTACCAGAACTGAAGTGAATCCTAGCGGAAGCGTGAGCCCCACAGCTTCTTTGAAATGATCTGGGCTGTCGTCCTGGTGTGCTGTCAAGTCGATGCCCAACCAAAGCAGGGGCCCATAAATCTCTCAAGACTTTAAGCAGTAAAAATGGCCAGGTCTCTAAACCAAAATGGCTGGATGTTTGTCTAGGCACTGAAAATACTTGCAGAGTGTGCCAGGCCCTCTGGCAGGGCTATCGCTGCGAGAACGTTTGAATGTAACTTTCCTTCCCAGACAAGGCCCTGATGTTGTACTTGGCTGGGGGACCATGAACTCTTAACACAAAAGTACTTCTTTTTCTTTTTCTCCCCCACTCCCCTTCCTTCTCCATGTCTTCCTACAGGCTGCCTACGTAGCCAAGTCTTTTAAAACACAGCAACGTTCTATATTGGCAGTCAAGCACTCCAAGTTCCAGAATATTTATGAAATGATGCTATTATTTATTGCATCCCCAATCTGTAAACAGAAACTAAATCCTCACATAACAAAACAGATAAAGTGGTAAGGAAGGAGACAGGGGCTGGCAGGGGAAAAAAATATTTCTTCAAATTGGCATGGATTTGGCATTAATAGGGAGCCAAGTCCAAACCACAGAGATAGGCATCTTTTGTCAGAGCATTTCCTCGTTGATTTTTGTTGAGATAAAGCTCCATTTAACGACAGTTGCCTGCATACAATTCCTGGGTTGTCAAGGCACTGAATTCGGTCCAGCTAATGAATAACGAAAATTAACCTTGTTAATCCCTTCCTGCTTATAACTGAAATGCTTTATGATCTCTATTTTATTGTAGTAAAATGACTTATAACAGAAAACTTATCATTTCAACCATTCTCAATGTACAAGTTTGTGGCATTAGTTATACTCATACACAAACTCTGTACCCATTAAATAGTAATTCTCTTTCCCACCCTCTGAACTCGACACCTGTATGCATTTATTTGCCTATTGTAAATATTTCATGGAAGTACAATATCTGTTCTTCTGTGTCTGGCTCATTACACATAGATTACTTAAATGTATTAAAATACCATTTATTCTTTCTCTTCTTCGGGTTCCATGGTTTTTAAAAAATCATCCAAAGCAATCTTATTTCATTCATTTTTCAAAAATAGTCGATGAAGGCCATACTCTAATCTAGGACTGAGGAACCAGTCATGAAGACAGTTGGGTTTCTGCTGGTCTACCAGTCACGAACTAATGGGGGAAACTGTCAAATGAACAACAAAACAGTATCACAGAACATGGTCAGTTGTGACAGGAGCAAGCACATGCTCTCAGAGAGACCCTGAACAGAAGCGATCTCTCAGCTCCGCTGGTGAGGTCGGGGCAGGCTGCACAAATGAACAAGCTGGTCACACAAGGCTCCCGTGAACACTCGTACCACCACTTGCCCAGCACAGGTGTCTGATGACGACGACGAGGAATGCCCTGAACCAAGAGGCTGATGGCCCATCTCACTCACCACAGCCCTGTAAACTCAACAGGCATAACAAAATGATCTCTCCTGAACAGGATGGTTGGGGAAATCAAGAGAGACAATAGGGGTGGAAATATAGCATCATTTCCAGGAATTGACAGGGCATTAAGTTCCATAGTGCTAAGGAGCTTTGGTGGTGCAACAGGTCAAGTGCTTGGCTGTGAATGGAGAGATCAGTGGTTCAAGCCCACCAGTTTTCTGCACAAGAAAAGACCTGGTGATCGGCTCCCATCTAGGAAACTACCCTGGGCAGCCCTACTCCATCATATGGAGTTAACCAGCGTCACAGCAAACTCAAGGACACACAACCATCACAAGCACAGCATCGCTTTCTTTATGGAAAAAGGGGTTCTAGTAACAAGCAAGGCAATTCAGGTGTAAGAAGAGCCTGTCATAAATCCATAATGAGTTGACATATCTGTGAGGCTATAGGACACTCTTAAAAGTCCAGTCTCTTCAAATTTGAACTTGTTCCTTCCAGAAGGTGCCTTGGGAAGACTGAACACAGAATTCACTTTCTGCTCTCATTAAAAACAAACACTGCTTACGGTGTTCATCACCGCCAAAGGAAGGGACATCACAGCACTTTATTTCCCTCTATTTTCTCAACTCTAATTGTTTTCTGTCTCTTTACCAATGTATACCACTGAGAAAGAGGCAAAAAAATGTCTTCTAGGCAAAAAAAGTCTTCTTCACGAAGGTGGGCTTTCTGCACGATTCCCTTTACCTTGGTAGGCTGGATTTACATGAAGAAACAGGGTTCAGAGATGTTTCCACTGAGCTCCGACCTTAACTAAACAGGTATGCTCCCTCCAGCAGGTCATTGAACCCATGGGGTTTCCATCCCCAGCACACTCATGCACAGATAAAGGGCTCTCCTCTTTCATCCAACTCAAGGTGGTATCTCCCGCAAGCCACTTCACCAGGGAGACACCTCGACCAAAAGGGTCAAGGTTGGCATCACCATGAACTAAACGTCTTGGCATCTTGTGCTCCTGAGCCACTGAGGATATTGCATCATCACTTCCCAGCATGCATGGCCTCAATCTAACCATGAGAAAGCATCATAGCAACCTAGTTGAGGAATGTTCTACCAAATTAACTGCCCGCGTTCTTCGGATGCATCAAGATCATGACAACAAAAAAAAGACAGAGGATCCGTGCAGACTGGAAGAGACGATGGGGGGAAATCCGGAAAATGAAAACAGAACTTAAACTTGTATTTGTGTCTTCATGATGACTCCATAGCAGGCCTGTCTCCCACATCAGGGTCACCCATGTCTGTCTCTTCATTAGCATCCTCACAAAGAGGAGTCTACCTCACTGGTTAGGTCTATGATATTTATTGTCCCGTTGTTAAAAGTAATCAGGCCTGCTATGTCTTACATTCAGGGGTCCAGGTACCCATCTGCCCCACATGTCCTAACTTCAGACCTCGTCTTGCAGAAATTCTGTATGCATTGCCTCTACCCTTTTGAGTTAGTTAGTTTATTATGCCAACCTGGCCAATAAACACATGTGGGATTAATTGAAGGGTGGAGGGATAAATGTCTCGGTGAGCCTCGCCTTTCTAGCTCTCCGGCCTCTTGCTTTGTGATGCTCCGACCAGGGTGCAGCTGCCTTAGCCAGGTCCCTACTTCAGCTGGCAAAGCTCACTTCCTGCAAGACATCCCTGAGGAGAAGCCACATGGACCTACCCCAATGTAGCGCTGGGCACTGGAGCACCCGTGTGGAGACCCCTACCAGCTCTGAGATGTTTACACATTCACTGACTTGGCTTTCCTCCTGCAGTCAGCATTGTTGTGTCTGTTTTCTGAGATGGAGGAGGGCTTTGTGGACTGGCGTTGGACATATGGGTTAATGGGTTAATGTTGTACTTGTGGGCTTTGGCAGCACTGGGTTGGGATATTTTCTTGATGCACACTTAACCTTTAGATAAAACTCTCCCTTATACATGAGTTTCTGTGGATTTGTATCTCTAAAGCACCCAGACTAACACACCTTTCCCTGAATACCAGGGTGAAGGTGGAAGGTTCACAAAGGACAGTAGGAACTCTGCACAAAGAATTACTTACTGCCACCAAGTTGATTCTGATTCATAGCAATTCTTAAGGTCCCAAAGTCTTTGCAAGAGTAGATAGTTTCATCTTCTCCACAGAGTGACTGGTGAGTTAGAACTACAGACCTTACAGTTAGCAATCCAATGCCTACCAAGTTCATCCTAGTATTAATAGCATGCCCCCTTGGCCCCATTTGACTACAGATTTTCTTGTACACTGCGACAAGATGTGATTTTCACATAGAAAAATGTAACATAGAAAGTAAAACAGGAGTAAAAACAATGATAAGGTACCTTCAAAAGCAGAGAAGAGTATTTATGAGAAGCATGTCGATTACCTTCTTAATGAATGCCACCGAAAATGTGTCCCATGATACTATGCCATGATCCATCAGTTCCACAAATGCAGTCAGTGTGAAGGACAGCATGTCTCCAAAGCTGGAAAACACAGGGAGATGCAATGGTTAGGCGCTGCAAAGTGGAAACAAAGAAAGAACAGTGAGGAAGCTCTAGAAAAAAGTACAAGCAAACGTTGAAAAGTGTGTTGGGAGCCAACATCTCAGCCATAGACAAAGCCCATCCGTCAATGAGAAGGAAACACGATGGCACCCCGGAGCATAGATATGGCTTCAAGTTGGACAGACTCAGTTTCAAACTGACAGGTACTTAGGACGCTGGGTCATATTGGGCAGCTTGTGTCATCGCACGGAGCCTCTGTAACCGCAGTTGAAAACAGGTATTCGTCATGTTGGGTTGCTAACCACAAGGTCAGCAGTTCGAAACCACCCGCGACTCTGCTGGAGAAAGATGGGGCTTTCTACTCCTGTAAAGATTTCACACGCTCAGAAACTCCCAGGGCAGTTCTACTCGGCCCTTTGGGTCTCTGTGAGTCAGAAATGACTCAATGGCAGTGTTTGAGGGTTTTCTTTTCGTTTTTGAACCACCAGAAGGTGAAAGGTCTAATACATAAAGAGGTACCACTTGCACTATTAATAATTGATCGTTTAAATAAAGCTTTTCAGCGAATGGCAGTTAGCGCATCTAGAAGAAGGCAATGCACCCCATTGATCATCCACAGGCAACTAAAGAAAAGACTGGAATAGCTCGATTAAGACTGCTAGCAGTCTGGAAAGGATTCAGGGGGCTACGTAGACCTTTATCTGCACTTATCCATACGGAGGCGATCGCATTTGTGTCCTTACCACACTGCTCAGCATTTTATCTTTGGCTAGTAGGCTTTATGAAATATGTATGGAGATAATGTATGTTTTCGGATCCTTCATTCTGACATTAAAGATGTTGGTGGGCGGGGGGCGGGGGGGAGTGGTGGGGGGAGTGGTTAATGGGAGATTTAGAAACCCATTTATTTCGGAGAGGTCAGGTCAAAGTACTGTTCTTTTTTTTTTTTATTCTTGAAAAAGTTTTAATATAATAACACTGAGAATACGCTTTTATGAGCAGAATATACAAGTGTTTGATATGCATTACAAAAGTATTAACTTCAGAAAGTGTCCAACTGCTAAATATCAAAAGAATTCCACATTCTGGCATAAAGATAAATAATTTTCGATACCAAAATCAAAGTACTGTTCTTCTGAAACACTTTCCCCCACCCACACATATTAGCTAATTCCCTGGTTTCTTTAAAACCCAAGACTTAAGCCTACTCCCACTGACTAACTAGCAACTCATAGTGATCCCACAGAACAGAACTGTTCCTTGGGGTTTCTGAGATGGTAAATCTTTATGGGAACAGACAACCTCATCTTTCTCCTTTGAGCTACTGGTGGGTTCGAACCACTGACCGGTGGCTAGCAGTGCAATGTGTAAGGCTGTACAACACCAGTCTCCCTGGTTCCCAGTGCTCCCAAAGTAACACTTCAAGACACTCAGAATATTTTGCTAAGCTCACCTTTTTCATTATAATAAATGTTATGGTAACACTCTCAAGACAAGAACCCTCTCCTCAAGAAGAGTAAATCATACCAACCAAGACGTCTAGACAGTCTGATAATTGCACTGACTGACCTGCTCAATTTCTGTTTGCATTTTTTAATAGGCAAACCCATTTTTATCTACCAGGATGGGTTCACAACAAGTACAGTATAGAATGAATGCCTCAAATAACTTTAATTATACAAACCAATGGGTGCCTTGGTGGTGCAGTAGTTAAGTACTGTGCTGTGATCCTCAAGGTCAGTAATTTGAAGTCACCATCCAGTTCTCTGGAGAAAGACAAGGCTTTCTACTCCCCTAAAGAGTTACAGTCTCAGAAACCCAGAGAGCAGTTCTACTCTGTCCTGGAGAGTCACTAGGAGTCAGCACCAACTCGAGGGCAGTGAATTTTTCACGTAATACAACAACGTATTACTTTGGTTCTATTTTAACTGGTGAAGAAATGTCATTATACATCCTTCTTTTTCTGACCAAGGAGCCATGGTGGCACAGTGGTTACACATTGGGCTGCTAACCACACGTCAGTGGTTTGAAACCACTAGCTTCTGCGAGAAAAAAACATGAGGCTTTCTACTCCTGTACAGATTTACAGTCGTAGAAACCCACAGAGGTGGTTCTACCCTGCCCTTAGTCATGAGTCAGAATTGACTAAATGGTGGTGAGTTGATTTTCCCCTGAACATCACCCAGAAATCCAAGCTCACTGCCATCAAGTCCACTGACTCACACCAGCATGCCAAACACAGTTTGAACAGTCCCTGTGGTTTGTGTGACTGTAGATCTTTACAGGGGTAGAAAGCCTCATCTTTCTCCCTTGGAGCAACTGGTGGTTTTGAACTACTAAGCCTGTGATTAGCTGTCCATCACATAACCCATGATGCCCCCTTTGGTTGGTTGCTTGGTTTATACAACTGGCATCTCTAGTTCATTTATTTTCCCCACTACATGATTTTCCAATAATGCCAAACTAGCTTGTAAGCTAGAGTGAATATCATACCCAATTCAGCACACTGACCAAAAGGATTTCCATCACACAAAGGTGAGCTTGCTCTCATACTCCCTATTGCTCCTATTTAAACAGAAGCTGGAAGACAACATGTGGTAGTTACATAATCTGGTGTCAACTTGTAGCGTCCAGCCTGTCAATCAGGTCACAGCTTGCTGACCTCATTTGGAGGTACTAGGAGATAAACAGCTTGCTTTAGGCAGGACACACACTCACTCTCTGCAAGACATTACTGAGGCGGAGCATGATGGAGCTAGGCTGATGTAGCCAGAGTCTTGGAGCTGAAGGAGTCATGGGGCGACCAACACCAGCATTGAGATGCTTCTACTGCCACTGGATCCACAAGACTTTCCATCCACTGGCCTGAGATCTTCCCACAGTTGGCAACTATGCCTGTATTGCGTGAGTATGAAGAGGAATTTACAGACTGGTACTGGACATATGGTCTAATATTGGACTTATGGACTTGATCTAGAATGTGCTGGGATGTTTCCTCAATATTCATTGCTCCTGTATATACACACATGAGTGTCTACGAATTTGTTTCTCTAGTCTACCCAGACTAACACACTATAGGTGGGGTACCAGGTGGAAGGTAGAATAGAAGCCTCTCCTGCTCTAAGTCCTTAGAATGGATGGCTCTACTTGCAAGTGTTTCTGGCACTTTGCTCTTGTCTCTCAAACTCATCTCACAGCCTTACCCAAGTCATTCAACCCCACCAAGTTATTTAAGTTCACGTGTGACCTCTTTCACCAGGATGTGTTAGAATCTAAAGAGCACAAAATGACAGTGGTTAAGGCAAGAGAAAGTGATAGAGTGAGGGACGAGCAAGAGGAGCCTCACTTTATAACTGAGTATGCCATCAAGTGGCAGTGGAAGAATCAAGCAGATTCCCACTTTACCCCTGAAGCTCAGGTTTAACTCGGCTAAGTGGATGCCCACACAGATCCAGTGGGTTTACCACTTCAGAGCTACACGCTCCATTTTTAAACATGAAAATTAGTTGTCCTGATTTTCAATCTGTAGGCATCGCAGAGGCCCCCACGGATACACAATAAGCAAAGTCTCCTGACATGTTTAGATTGAATCTGCCCAATTGTTTTCAGTGAACAGGACAGAAAGGAGGTTCACGTTTCTTTTCAAGCAACTCGATGATTTCCCTGCTTCCCAGTGCTCTACTTAGCCTGTCTCAAAAACTTACCTTGAATTCAGCACCAGCTCAGAAGGAATGGTGCTAAATGAAACCCTCTGAAAAGGAAGGTGGGTCCCAGGCCTGGATGGTGATCTATAACTGCGGGAGACCCATGGGGTGAAGCAGAATGTGGGGCATGGTTAAGTAGCAAGCTTCTAGAGTCAACAGCCCGGGTGGTCACTTCAGCTCTGCTTGGGCAACTGAACGCCCTATGCCTCAGTGTCTTGAGCTGAGTCCTGTCCTCCCTCAAAGGATGTGCTGGGACCCTAATCTATCTGTGAAAGCAGCCGCATGTGGAAAGGGTATTTTCTGTCCGATCAAAGAGGCCACATCTATGAGGGCGTGTCCTAAACTTGAGGTGAAGCAAACCCACTGCCATCAATTTAATTCCTCATCACAGTGATCCCACGACAGTGCTTGTGACACTGTCGACCCGACAGCCTCCTCCTCTCTCGTGGGGCCGCCGGTGCGTTATTATAAGAAGCCTCAAAGGCACAGGGACAAGCAAGCACAAAGGGCACAAGGCCAAGGCCATGTGGAGCTCTCCAAAGACCGAGGCAAGCCCAGGCTGGAGAAGCTGAGACAAGAAGCGTCCCCAAGGGCTGACAAAGTGAGGAGAGGGTTCCCCACAAGCTGGTATCCTGAATTTGGATGCTTAGCCTCCAGGACTATAAGAAAAATAAATTCCTGATGTTTAGGCACCCACGTATAGCCATTTGTGTGACAGCTGCACCAGATAGATTAGCCATTTTCTCTTTCATTGAAAATGGGATGTCCACAGCGCTGGTGCTGGGGGTGGTCACTAACTGGAGGATGGCTGAGGGATGAAACAAGCCAACACACCAACAGCCCACAGAACAGGCCACCCCATGTGGCCGTTTGTTGTTATCATTACGCAGAGAGGAATTTTAAAAATAATCAGTTTATTGTGGTAAAATATGTAACACACTTCTGTCATTTTAACCATTCATAACTGTACAACCCAGGAGGGGGGCGGGCAGAGCAGGGAGCTCCCGAAGGAGTGCAAAGAACAGACTCTGGGGCCAGAGCGTGGCACCCATCAGACTTGACTGGAGGACACGCCTAGAGGTCAAAAATCAGTCCTTGGTCTGTTTACAGGGCTTTCTTTCTTTTTAAATTTTTTTCTTTTCCTTTTTGAAAAATTAATTTATTCTTTTCTGGGTCATTAGTTTTCTTTTTTGTTGTCATCGGTGTGTTCTCTTTTGTCACTTTGTCTTGCTATGCCTTGGTTTTTGCTGCAGATCTATAAGATAGGCTGGATGA